CTGGAGATATTTTAGACCTTTTCTATGGGTTTTTGGCTTAGGTCCTAAAGAAAGACCTGCTATGGAAATAGTTCCAGGAAGGTGCAAGCTAAGCAGGGATGTGGGGTGGGGTGGGGTGCTTGCAGCCCCTTTCACCAATCTGTCTCCTCACTGTCTATCTCCCCTAGCCCAGAGCATCCTACAGGAGCACCCAAGCTATTCCTAACAGTCACAGGCACTTGTAGATACCTTAAAACCATGTCTTTCTTTTTTTTTTATTAGAAAAATTAATCATATCTATAAAAAATATACCCTTCTGTGCAAGGCTGGATGTTCTAGTGATTGCAATAGGAGTCTCAGAGTCACAGTTCTCACCCCAGATCCACCACGTAGTATGTGGCCAGGGTGGTTTGCTCCTGTTTCCATTTAAGCCCCATATGCACACTCACAGGCATACCCCTTAAGTGCTCTTCCCTCAGCTGTACTATTTTCACCACTCTATTTCTCAAAAAGTCTTTGATATTCCAGAAGGCTAATCCACAAACAGCTCTCAGGAGTGGAGCCCATCTGTCAGTAAGAGATGTAAGACCGTAACAGCAGCCGTACTGCACCAAACGTGGAGGTCCCAGCCCAGTGTCCTGTGTGCAGCTGTGGCCATGAGCAGACACCTGGAGAAGAGCACAAGAGCAAGTGTAGGACGCGTCTCCCAGTCTTGTCCCAGTCTCTAATTATTGTGGGCTTTGGGACTTCCTGAGCTGAACTTCCAGCAGCCATCCCCTACCAACACGTCATCTTTAAATTACAATAAAAAAATTATTTCTTTCCACAAAGGGAGGTGAGAGCAGCAGCATCCTCTTGGAGGGATGGATTGGTACTAATACCCTCACCCCTCTGCACCCCAGAAACGTGGATGAAGGACAACAACTGAACTATACATCTGAAGCTGACCCTGAAAGATGCAAAGCCCCCGAGCCACACCAGCTCTTGCTCAGATTTCCCCCGGCTGCCCAGGGAATCTGAAATGGGCGGGTACTGCCCTCTCCCTAACAGGAAAGTAAGGAAGAAAGGGTGCAAAGGGGAGAGTGTTGCTTCCCAGGAGGCTGGAAACTGTTTCCTGCAAGCAGCACGGCTGTTAATTATCTGCTTCCTTGGTCTCGGAATATTTAATATAAAACATCCTCTAGAGACACGGCGGGAGCAAGGGGTTGACATGTGACCTGGTCAAAGCTAGCAGTGCAGGCAGTGTAAGGAGAGCCAGGAACAAATCATGGCACTTTAAAGAAATAGAGTAAAATACTCCAGGGCTGCCCCTGCCTGCGCTGCTTGGTCCTCCTGCGGCTTCTTCGCAGCTGTAACCCTGTGAATTTCCCAGCTTGGAGGGGTGGGCTCTACTAACATGAATAATACAAAACCTGCAATCAGTACCTCCCTCGCCTAAACCATGCGGCAAAAATTTGGGCAAGAGGAGTTTTCCTGGCCATGGCACAGGAGAAAGGGATTGGTATGGGGCAAACATGGGAACACAGAAGAGAAAAAAAGGAGAGGACTGGGGAGGAGGAGAGAAGAGGGCAGGAAAGTGCAAGTCGGAGTGCTGACACTGACCAACAAAATGGAGGAAGGAGCACCAACAAAATGTCTGGAAGAGAGAGGCTGTCTGGGAGCTCAGTTTTTCTGAGATTGCTCAGGCAGAGCAAACATTTGAGGTACCCAGTTCACACGGTTCAGACATTGCAGGTCGTCATCTAAAGGGCCCTACCTTCAAGTGTCAGCACTTGAGTTTCCTAAGCAGCTCAAATGCCATGAAATGCCTTCTTATCTGGCCACGGGATGCCTGTTTAGATTGATCTGAATCTCCAGTAGGTCCTATGTCCTACCTGAAAGCCCCATGTGGATGTCTTAGATATCCTACCACGTCCAAACACCACTAGATACCTATGTGCCAACAACCTGACTCATCCCTAAAGAATTAGGTGGCAAATATCTGCTTGGCAGCATGATTCACAGAGTTTATCCACCCAAGGTAGCAGAGGAGCCACATGGAAGGAGCAATCAGGCCATCTGAACGATGCACCTACTTCCCTGCATGGCCCAGAAAGTCCCAACAAGCCCAGTGTGTGACTCAAAGCTGCTTCGTGCTAAGTGGTTTGGTTTGGTGCTTTGACCTAGACAATGTGAAAACCGAGGCCCAGCGGTCTGTGGTCAGAGCTGTATGTCACACACCTCTCCACAAGCTCCAGAGAGTCCAACCTCCTCCTGAGAAGCAGGGGATGTGGCAGCAGCCCTGATGACGGGTAGAACATTTCATACCCCAGCCTTTGGGCATTTCCCTTAATCTGAGGATGATCTCAGCTACATTTAGAGCACAGTCTTTGAAGAGAGAGAAACTGGACCAGGGTGATCCTCTCTTTCAGCAAATCAGCCTAAATACGAAGGCTTAGGTCTCTAGGGGAAGTTACTACCCAAGAGTCAGCTAAGGGCGGTACAGAATGAATTTCCTCGCTGCCTGCAACAGCTCTTCCCTCAAAAGCCAGCTTCACACATCAGAAAACTTCTTCCAAGACTGGACCTTACTTGCAGTCCCGGAGGAAGCCTGTAAAACATTAACTACAGCACCTATTCGTGTCTCATCTCAAAGGGATAAAACCCGTTTCTGGGTCTGTCGGGGGGTCAGGAGAGTATAAAACCGCATTCATTCAAACTGGTTTGGCAACACCTACAGCAGCAAAGGATTTCACAAATGTGTTCCCTTCTGTAAACACCACCAGTGCTCTCGTGTCCCTTTTTGCCCCAAATATCTGTGCTAATACGTCCCATTTTGTGCTCTCGCTCCATCAGGTCGCGCTATGCGGAGTTCCAGTTTAATTGCCAGCCGTCCCTGCAGGCTGCGAGCGGCTGGCGGGGGGGCGCCCGTGCGGGCTGCGAGCGGCTGCCGGAGGGACAGCTATGCTGCCTGTCTGCTGGCGTATACAGGGATCATAGGTAGGAGGCTGCGTCCTTTGGCTGGTCTCTTTCCCACTCTCTGGGTGGGAAATATCTCCTCTGGGTGGGAAACACCTCCTCTTACTCTGGCCGGCTGAAAGCTATGAGGACAGGAAGGTGGAGGGCTGAGACTGGGATCTCGGGGAGATGCTGGGCTTTCTCTCTGCGGTGACTAGAGAAGGAGCCTAAGCCATGAGCACAGGGTGACTTTAGGATAGCTGCAGCAGAGGGAGAAAAACCATGCACCATGGGCTGCTGCAAGATCCCAGCTTCTCCCTCGGATGGAAATAGATGGGCTGTCCCAGGGCATCTGCTCTGTCAGGGGTTCTCTGATGCCATCACCAGTGATGCCCCTGGAAATCACCATCCACTGCCATCCTGCTGACTTCAGAGGGTGTCAAATTGGGTTTTCAGATGCTGCAGAGACCCAGCTGGCAGCAGTTAGCACAAGCACAGCCAGAGTCCAAAGAGAAACACCAGTGGCCATTGGATTTGGTCCATCCTGTCGGATGGGATAGATTGACAGCTTTTTGGGTCAAGATTTCATTCTGGTTTGTCTCTGGCCATTCTGGAGATTGAGTTTGGCTTTTTCAATGACAGCGTAGAAACCTTTACGCACATTCACGTACAGTGTTTGAATGTTATCAGGGAACCTGAGTTCCCAGGAGCTGCCCATTCCTTGGACTGATAGTTCGTTTTAATTGACGGAAGGCTTTGCTGGCGGCGGGGCGAACAAAAGGGTTGCGACTGCCCCTCTCTCTTCTCCTCCCTGGGAGCAAAAGAGACCTGTGACACCAGCACTTGAAGGGTTTTCTCGTGCTGCCATCACGGAGGGGCTCAGCTGAGGCTGTAAGCAGAGCAACCCAAGAGAACAGCAAGGAGGGAAATCATTGTCCCTTCTTGAAGTACCAGCCTTGCGGTAACACTTCTCCATCCTTCCCGGCAGGCAGCCCCATCACACCCAACTACATTGACAACTCAACTTCCAGCATAGCTCCCTGGTGCACGTGCAATGCCAGCGGCAATCGGCAGGAAGAGTGTGAGAGCTTTCTGCATCTCTTCACCGACAATGTCTGCCTCCGTAAGTATCGCCCGGCACGTTGCTGCTCCGGCAGCATCGCCCGCCAGCTGGTGAGGCTTCTTGTGAATGAGGGTATGAAGATACCCTGGTCCTCAAGAGTCTGTAGGTGTCCAGCTCCCTGTGCTTTCAACAAAGGAGCTCTGAAGACCCTCGGGCATGCATTTGGGTGATGCGGTCAAAGGAGGCTGGAGAAGGGATGCGCGTGCTTTCCCTTGGAAACATTGCCCTAACAACGCTTTTCTCCATCTCTTTCCCACACAAAGAAAATGCCATTCTGGCCTTTGGCAATGGGACCTACCTGAATGCAGCTGTGGCCCCATCCATCCCCCCCACCACACAGATGTACAAGCAGGAGCAAAATGCCAACAGAGCTGTGGCGACCCTCAGAGAGAACGTCTTCGAGCACCTCCAGCCCACCAAGGTAGGAGAGGGCTGACCTGGCCCTAAGAGATGCTTGGCCATGTCTATACCTCCTCCATGCCCTCCAGCCCTCCTCACCTCAGCTCCATCTTCCATCTGTGTCATTTCAGCTATGTGCAGACATCCAACCTCCCCTCCACCTCCTGGAGTCCCTGATTCACCCTCTTCTTCATGCCCTGACATATTCTTCCCCAACATCAAGCACAGGGCTGCATGCTCCTGTCCTTTTGCACCAAGGGAGGTTTAGACTGGACATTAGGAAAAATTTCTTTACTGAAAGAGTGGTCAGGCCTTGGAACAGGCTGCCCAGGGAAGTGGTGGAGTTGCCATCCCTGGAAGTATTTAAAAGACGTGTAGATGAGGCACTTAGGGACATGGTTTAGTGGGCATGGTGGTGTTGGGTTGATGGTTGGACTCGATGATCTTAGAGGTCTTTTCCAACCTTCATGATTCTATGATTCTATGATCCCTGACTCTGCCCTCCTACCTGTTGGTCACCTTTTCTTTTCTTTTGTGGATGCTACGGAGAGATATGGTATTTTTTTAGAAGTACTGGGAAATCCATGGGCTTTTCAGGAGCGTAGAAGGGGAGCCAGGACCACTGGTTTGGCTCCTCACCCTCCTGCAAGGCAGTCGCATGGTTTCAGACAAGCATTTCAGCTGCCTGGGACACAGGTTCCTCCCTTGTTAGATGAGGATCCTGGAGGTCATAAAGTTGAGGCTTAACTGACTAAGGTTTGCTAAGCACTGGAACATTTCAGATGAAAGGTTCTAGTCATCAGCAAATTGTTAGTATCAAAATAATATTAAACTGAAATTATTTTGAAGCAAATAACAGATTATTTTACTGGTGATGGCAGTAGTAGGTATTAAATATTTTATTTTTAAATAAAAAGCAATGACCTTGATCTGCCACCCATCAGAGTAATTTTCAGATTGAATTATTTTACTATTGAATAATTAACAGTGACCCTGATTTGCTGAACATTCAGGTAACAGAAGTTGTCAGTTAACTAGACTCCAAGGACTGAGCGTGGGCTTTGCACTGGGCTAGCCGATACCTTCAGAGAGCTTCCACACATGGGTATTTTTAAGCCTCTTCCCTGTTCCTTTTGCTGGGAAAACAAGAGATTCACCTCCCTCCACTCTGTTTTCACAGAGCAGCAGGTTGGGAGGTGCAGAAATGTGGCCTCAGCTTCCCTCACTGCTTTTCAGGGCATCGGTGGCTTTCATCAGGCCACAAACTTTGCACCCAGGAGATTTGGAGGATTTGCTTCTAGCGGGTGCTCCCCAGACCTTAGTGCAATCCAAGTAATGGCCTGAGGTCCAGACCTTGCACAGAGAACTTTATCCTGGAAGTGATGGAGAAGCTGTGAACCTCCCTCATCACTGACAGTCCAGTGCAGATAGCCAACTGCTGCTGCCACCAGCAAGTGGGAAGCTGGAGAAAGCAACTGCAGTAAGGGATGGCCCTACCACATCGCCAACCTCCACGTGACAGCAGCACATCCCTCTGCTGAGGTGTGAGCGCTACTGGAGCACGGGCACTGCTGACACTGCAAGAGAAACCGGGCAGTTGGGTCTTGACTTTGGACTCATCCCTGGAAACATTCAAGGTCAGGTTGGACGGGACTCTGAGCAGCCTGATCTAGTTGAAGATGTCCCTGCCTGTGACAGGGGTGTTGGACTAGATCACCTTTAAAGGTCCCTTCCAATCCAAACTATTCCATTCTATTCCATTCCATTCCATTCCATTCCATTCAACTTCAAATCCAGATCCTTTTCAACGTTTAATGAGTTTGGTGCCCCTGGACGTGAGGAGGAAAGCTACGATGGACCAATTAGTCCATCTGCTTCCCATCTTCATAGCAGTGCAGAGCCTTGGCTCTAACTTATCTCAGTTATCTAACTAATGCAAATAGAGGTCTCTAGTAAAGCAAATTTTTGTCCACAGATGTCAATGCACTGTAAAAGGAGAAGGGTGCAGGGGGTAGGCACCCAGGGTGCGAGTCAGTGGCATAAACACATGCACTGTATTTTGGAATAAGCCACCTGGCTCCCAGCTGCTGCTTGGTGAAATGCCTACCAGCCCCATGGAGGTGTACTCACACCTGGGGGACATCTCCACCTGAAGAGGCCACCAGGTCAAGACGCTGGCCAGCAGTGGCTCCATAAGCTGCATGGATCTCCATTGACCAGAGTGGGCATCCAGGCACCCACCTCACACAAAGATACCTCCAACCAGTCTCCAAACCTGTGGGGTGCACAGCCAGCGCTGTGCCCACGAGGTGACCCTGCTGTATGCCACGGCGCTACCACCACCTTCACCACCATCTCCAACAGAGCTGAGCCGACCTCCAGACTAGACCTGGGGTGCTGAGACCAGCCCTGGCTCCCTCTGCACGTGCACACACATAGGAAGGCTGCACAGTCCCCAAGCCCTAAATCCTTGGAGGGACCAAGGTGGGGAACAACCACACTACTCACCCCATGCCGCCTCCTTTTTCTTGCAGGTGGCCGGAGAGGAGAGGCTCCTGCGGGGCTCCACTCGTCTGTCATCAGGGACCTCCAGCCCAGCAGTTCCCTCCTGCTGGGCGATGTGGCTTCTCCCCACTCTTGTTGTGCTGAACCTCTTCGTGATGTGAAGCAGGGTGGGCACACGCCAGGCAGAGACTCTCTTTGTGTTGGTTTCTTTACAAAACAACCAGACCAGTAACTTTTTCGGGGGGCTGGGGGGGAGGAGGGAGGGGATGGGAAGGAGAGGTGAGTGTGTGGGCATCCCTTCCTCCTCCTCATCCGTCTACCAATTTATTTGATTTTATACAACCTGCATCGTCGACAACCAGCTCATTCTTGGTCCTGGCCAGCTTTCCACCCCACAGGTTGGTTGTTGTCTCTCCAGCTCTTTGCGGCTGGGGTCAGAGCCATGGACAAGTCCCTTGGAAAAGGTGAAGGAGACAGTTGATCTAAGAAATGAAAGCTGCAAAGGAAATGCTTTACCTGCCCCAGCCAAAAGGGGAAAGACTTTTGATAGATGAGCTGTCGGGAGGTTTCCTGAAGCCCTGACTCACATTGGGGGGCTTTTGACAGGACACGTCAAGCGATGTGGAGTTCAGACTGTCTCCAGGGTTGCTCAGGACCTGAAAGGCAGACCACCTCATTCAGACTGAAGAAACCAGAGAAGGTGAGAAGGTGGTTGGTTTTGATCCTAAAGCACCTCTGGGGTGGACCAAGTAACCACGCTACGAACTGGCTGGCGGGGATTGTCCACCCGCTTGAAACCATGGCCAGCGTGCAACTAGCATGCATCTCCAAGCTGTCACCTACCCCTCGGGCCCTCCTTTTTAGAGAAACATGGTCATGTATTGATGGTGTTCAGGAAGAAACACGTGTGTTGCATTTTGTTTGCGGCTGGCTTTCTTCGTGTCCCAACCCTAGCGTCTCTATTCACTGGTCCTGTAAAGTCTTTGGGGTAGGTATTTTTTTGTCACATCCAAACAACCAGAGGCCAATGTTGTCCCACTCCAAGCTAACCTTTCTCCATGAGGGATGAATGTGTGAGCTCGCAGGCAGGACTCGATGGAGCCCAACGCAACCCACTCTCACGTGCTACCTGTGCATCTGCCGGTCTCGCGGAGGCAGAGGGTCTTCAGCCAGGGGATTTCATTAGTTTTCCTAGGAAAAGACAGGATAGAAAAGGTTTGCTAGATACCGCCTTGGGGACATAAATATCCAGCCAATTTGTGGAAAGGCCAAGTCATGAATCATGTAATGGGTAGGGAGTGGATTGCTACGGTTCCCCTCCTTGAAGAGCTGGCAGAGGCAATCGCTTGTGTCCAGGTTAGCACGTGAAGGACGTTGCCTCCTGCCAAGTCCTATTTATTCAGCCGAGAGGCCGTTTAAGCAAAGGCTGGTGAAGTGACCCATTCTACTGAGCTGCAACCAGAGCCCAGCTGGAGGGTGAGGACAAATGTCTCTCTGGTCTCTTGGGGCACAGGGAGGCAGATGCGTGACCTTGGGCTACCTGAGCATTTGGGGGTCTTCCCTCGAGGAGGTGAGCTGAGGACTCCCACTGCCTTCTTGAGGGGCTGAACCCCTCACTAGATCAAGCCAAGAAAGAAGATGGTAAGGAAGGGTGAGAAGGTTTCCCAGGATAAATGCTTACCCAGGTAAGCCACAGGAGGCACAGGAATAGCTCCAGATTCTCCCTAAGTATTTAGGCCTGGGCTTTGCAGCAGCCCATTTCTTCCTTGGCTTGTGCTCCTCCGAGGAACATAGTTAGTTCCTTAGCGTTTGGATCCACAGAAAGGCTTAGCAGCAGCTGACACAGCAAAGTCCAGCGCTCTTTATTCCCATTCCCTGCAGAACACCTTCCATTGTTTATTGCTTCAGATTTTTCTGAGAAACTTTCTTGGGTTTCGGTCCAATATGAAACCACGCTTGTTTGCAACTGAACACCTGTGGATGTGTAGACGTGCACAGAAATCCTCCTGGCTGCATCCTATCCAAAGTTCTGCTCCTCGAGGTCCTTGGGGCTATAACACCCGGTTGTCCTAATCCAGGGCTGTGCAAAGGAACGTGCCAAGATCCAAGTCTTGTGTGCAGGGTGCCAGGTCGCACCCTGAACTGAAACTTGTATGTGAGATCTTCACCGCCAAGACTCTCACCCAGGTGTGAAAAGCAGGTAGGGAGGTAGCGTTACAGGCAGGAAAGTCCCTTCCCTCCCTTCAAAGTACCATAGCCGTGAGCTGCTGTGAACATCTCCCCTTTATCCAGGACATCGGTGTCCTCTGAGAGACCGTGGAGCCATCTGTGCACCAAGTGACACAACTACTAGCTGCAACTCTGCAAAACTCGTGTCCTCTGAGCCACAGGTGAGAAAGGGATTAAATCCTGATGCTCAGCCCTTCAAAGGCAAGGAACTACCTCAACATCATGAGGTCATGCCGTGAATTGCCGCCTTCTGCCGCTTTCCTTTCAAGTCCTCTAGTCATGCCCTGCTCTTCTACACATCTGGTCCCAGCAAGCCTGTCTCCACCGGCCTTTAATCTTGCGCGGGCTGGGTCTCTGTGTAGGACGGGCATGCAAGTGTCAGCTGCTGTTCAGGAGTACCCACTCCTGCAGCCTCTCATGGCTCTTGGCCGTTTCCTTCTCTGATTGACAGCCAGCAAAGAGACTTTTTCTAGGTGGTCAGGATGACTGGCAACCCCACCTGAGCTCTCCCTTAGGACTGGTATGCTGTGAAAACTAGGTGTGGAGAATCCTACTCATAGACTAGAGGGGATGGAGGAGACCTCCACAGGTTACCTAGTCCATCACCATGTCTCACAGCAAGACCAATGGTCTGTTTACACTTTCTGGCAGATTTATCTTAAATGATTTTTAACAATTTCAATGAGAGACATCATCACGTCCCCTGGATTTATATCTTGCTTTAAAGACTCCTTAGGATGTTAGTTGTCTCTAAGCATCACAGTCCAACGAGACCCTCAATTCCCATTGCGGTGTCTTCTCAAGTCCTCAGTTTTGGAAGGATGGCAGAGCAACAGCTAAAAGTGCCCCGAGGCTGTAGAAGGTGACAGCCAACTACCATGGATCATATCACAGAGGCATTGCATGAGAAGCTCAAAAAACATGGCAACGGTCTGCCGGGATCCCTGCCGAAACTGCAGTGAGTTTGTGTAAATGGGTGTCTGCTAGAGGGTTTCCTCCCCGTGCCCTTGATTGAGGGACCTCAAAAGCATCTGCAGAGCTGAGGTTGCAGGTCTGAAAATACACTCCCCGTCCTCAGCCTTTGTCCTGTGCTGTGAGTTTGGATAGAGCGTCCTTCAAGCACTGTCCCAGGTCAGGTCCTGCACTCCCGGGGGTTCCCCGCGGTCCGGGGATGCTTCAAAATGGAGTAAGGCCCAGAGCAACGAGCCTCTCGCCCAGCAGGGAAGAGCCAGGGGGGTGGGATGGGCAGTCAATTACACAGAATTAAAAAAAAAAAAAAAAATTCCCAAACCTGCATGGCTTTTTTCCTGATCATTTCAGCCTTTTTGCCAATATTTAATGTCCATTCTCCCTCCGAGCCTGTTCACGAATCAAACTTTGCAAAAAAGGATGGCTTTTGAGCAGTCCTTTTGGAGGAACGGAACCTGATTACATTCCTCCCCACCCACAAACACATGCATGCACAGGCCATTTCTTTTCCCTTGTGAAAAGTCCGTAATTTTTTTGGATGAAATTTCATCTCTCTCGAACTCTGTGAAGTGAACCATGGATCTTCATTTTTAAGTCTCTTGACTAACGACCAAAGTCATAGCAGCTGCTTGAAAAGGCAAAGGACTGAGCGAGCCAAGAGAGAGAAAGGGAGACAATTTTTTTAGGAATTACTCCGTACCTGGGGACTTTCATAAGCACAAAGAGTCATGGGGGAAGAAAAAAAAAAAAAAAAAAGAAAAAAAAGAAGAAAAGAACCGGCCAAACTTTCTGTAGCCCCCAAACTCTATTTTTTTGGCTGCTCAGCACCGTTCCCAGTGGTTTGGCAGTCCTGAAAGCCCTTGAAATATTGTGTATGTACAAATACCACATCGTCGTTAAAGCAAGAGCGCGAGCAGGGAGGGAGACAGCGCG